ACAAGGAATCACTCTCGCGCACGCATAGACACCGGAAGGAAGGAAGAAGGAAGTAATGGGAGCCTTCAATCTGATTTTTTTTTTTCATTTAAAAAAAAAAATAGAGTCTCATGGGGCCACCTTTTGAATTGAGCCTGAGAGAACCCAAAACTAGGCCTGGGTTGATGAGAGGTGCAAGGTATCACCTTTTGCAACGTTTGATAAACGTTGTAAAAATGTTTATCTTTCAAAACATTTGATAAATGTTGCTCAAGGTTTCTCTTTTATGCAACGATTGATAAACATTGCGAAAGAGAAACCGTTTTGCAATGTTGCTAAAATTAACCACTTTCACAGCACGAAAAACGTTGCAAAAAGATGACATTAGTAGTATTTACTTAAAATATATTGTCAAATCTCAATTATTAACACAAATGGCAACATTCACTTATTAAAATGTTACAATTAATCCTTTTAACATTAAATTAATGAATGTTGGCTTTTGCATGTTACAAAAAAGCATTTTTGTTGTAGTGAATTGATGTGTTAGATTATATACATAAAATTAATTGTTTTTGCCCAATTGCTTGGATTGTTTATATAATCTGTTATTGACTATTATTGTCACTGTTGCCTCCATCGAAGGATTTTTTCATAGTTGAAGTTGATTAAGTTTTGTCTTCGATCAACAATGTCATTAAAAAAAAATAAAAAAAATATATATTTGGATCATACAAAGTCTTCATTTAAATGAAAATATATTATTTATTTAAATATTTTAATATTGCTACACTTGTATAAATAATATTTAAGGATCTCATGATAATTAGTCGCTTAGGACATTCAAATTCTCTGGAACCGACCTTGTACTCTAGCAACTTTAATAGATGATGCGTCACGACTACCAAAGTACTTATTGAGTTGCCTTATTACATATATTAGTATAATTTTAAAAGAAAATTGGTATTAATGTCCAATTTTAACAACCCATTATGAAAAAATGACCAAGCCATTTAAAAAAAATAAAAAGGATGAAAATGCTCCTACTTTTATTATTATTATTATTTTTGGTTTATTCCCAGCATAATTCCAACACTCTTTTTTCTTTTCTTCAATCAGAAAATCAATTTGTTTCTCTCACTCAACTCAATCACAAATCTGCAGTACATTCCACAACATCTCACCCACTAGATTGTCATTGTTCCACCTCTACCATCCATTTTTCGTGAGAAAAAGATCCAAATCAATTCAAATTGGTTAATCAGACATTTTCCTTTTTTTTTTTTTCCGTTTCTTCTTTTGAATTTTAATTTTGACCACAAAAACATGTCTCTCATTTTACGGACAACAAATGAGTGTCTTCTTGGACATTAAAAAAGTTGGTAAGAGAGAAGATTTAGGGGGTTTTCTTAGAATTATATAAGAATTGGAATTTTTTAATAAGGAGGAGAAGAAGAGGAAGAAGAACATGCAGACACCTTTATTTGTTGAATGCTAAGGAAAAAAAAAAAGTAGATATCTTATTTTATATTATCTTTTTCATTTGTTACATGGATTCTACATAATTTTATTTTCAAATCTATGCAATATTTTTGTATGTTGAAGTCAACACATAAATGTTAAAAAAATGTTAATTTTTATGAACCATTTGTTAATTGATTGTTGGACATTGATTAATCCATAAATGTGGAGGAGCATAAGCTGATTTTTTTATTTTTTTTTCATTATATTAGTTGTTACTGTTTGATTATTTTATTTATTTTTGTTGATTTTAGATATGCATGTTTTCATGCATTTTTGAATTTTTCGAACAATAAATGTTGAAAATATATGGTGTGCCATCCTAGTATATATCAAATATTAGCAAGTATTTTACAAGTTGGCTAGGAAATCTCATTTGTGTAAAAAAAAGGAAAATTCAGCTACAACAAAAAACTGAATTCTGAAATGAGTAAAACCAAATTAAGCCATGTTTGGTGAGGATTAAAGTCAGATTTTTAGTAGATTTTGATAAAAATTGATAAAATGTATTGTTGAAAAGTTGTGAGATCCATAAAATATATGATTAAAATTAATTGTCGACTTTGAGTTAGATTAAAATTTTAACTGGTACCAAACAAGGGCTAAAACACTTCTCCAATAGAATCAAAAGAGGAAAGCTAATGTCAATACCCACTTGTGCAAGTAACTATTGCTTACTACATTTTTACAATTTCAACTTCCATTAGTTGTTAAAAGCTTTATCAATTCCAACTTCCAAAAAACTTCCATTTGATTTGTTGTTTTCAGTTTTGCAAAACATTGAAAACGTGTTTAATTTGATATTTTTGAAAATACATTTTTCAAAATAAGGATAAACTTATAACATAAAAACTCAAAATGCATTTTCATGAAAAAAAATAAACAAAACATGAAAAACACGTGTTTAAATAAATTTTTTGTTAATTTTTAAAATTAATAATTTTTAAAATATAAAATATAAAAATAAAAATTCAAAAATAAATTTCTAAAAAATTCTAAAAAAATAAAAATTGTGATAATAAATTAAAATATTTCAAACTCTTAATTCTTTACAAGTATTTAAGTGAACTTAGATAAAATATTCTTAGTACGCATAATTTATATATATAACTCAATTTATTATTTATTTTATTTTAAAAATATTGTAAAATTCACCAACTTTAAGATGTAATATTGCAGGATAATAAATTAACATACAATTTTTTTATTTTTTACCAAATAATCAAAATTCATTAAATAAAATATCATAAAACAAAATTTCAATATTTCAATAAAATGTGATTTTTAATTTTCTGTTTTGAGAAATAATTTTTCAAAATGATAAATCAACAGTATTTTTAAAATCTTAAAGCAAACGTCCAAAAAAGAAACTGAAAATAAATTCAAAACTCAAAATTGAGAATTGGAACACAAAGAAATGGACTCTCATTTTTCAAAAACTCATTTTCAATGCTTTCATAAAATAATTTTACATATAAATTCAAAAATTTTCCTTATTTTTAACTATACATTCTTCAAAAAATTATAATTTTAAAATGTATTTTATAACAAAAATGGGGTTCAAACAGATGAACCCAACTAATTTTCCCAAGCAAACTTTACCACCATGTCTCCACCATTTCAATCTGTATCTGGACTTCATGATCGACAACATAATCTTTGAAAATTATTTTGTGTCAATTGGTCGTATCTCTTTTTGAGCTTCACGAAATAGCCTTCTCTGGTGGGCTCCTAATCGACCGATGAATCAAGCCTCCTTGTCCTTGGCAGCATTTTCTATAACTTTTTGACTTGTCATGCGCTACGGAAAATGGTTGGTTTGAGGTAAATACTAAAGTAATAATATATTTGGTGGAAACATAACGAACTATCGCTAAGAATAATGCTATTTAGTTTCATTGGGTTACAACCCCAATCTATGTGACATTAAACGATAGATGGAATTAAATAAATCATTTAATTTTAGAGTTCATTCAATATATCATCTAATGCCACCTAAATCGAGACATAACATTATTTTATCACTAAAGGGTAGGAGGATGCTGTGAGACAGATGATTATATATTTGTATTATTAATATTCGAATAATGTTATCCGACATCAATGATATTGAATATTATATCAGGTCAATATACCAAAAATCCTATTAAATGAGTGCCCACTTAGTCTTTGTTTGGTCTCCATTTTGTAGAAATGAAAATGGATGGAATAGTATTTTTTTGAAAAATGAATGGTTGAAAAAAAAGGAAAAATTTTGATTTATGCCCCCGTTTGAGCCTCATTAAATTACATTTTATTTTTCTTTATTCTCTTTTCAACCACACAATTTTCTATAAAATAATATTACACGTAAATCGAAAACTTTTTATTCTTTTTCAACCTCTCATTTTAAAAAAAAATACTATTTCTCCTATTTTCATTACCCAAAAATGGGGATCAAATAGGGGCGTATGTAATATTGTTTTATAGAAAATTGTGAAGTTAAAAATAAGAGAGAGAGAAATTAAATGTAATGAAATGAAAATTAATGAGGTGAGACGGTTTTTAATGAAAGAAAGTGGACGTTAATCAGAGGAAGACGATTATTCACATAGAATGATTAATTTGAGGATTGAAAGGCCAAATGTGACAATTTACGCATTTGAGGCTACCAATATAAATTCCTCCACTCCACTTTTATCAGAAACCTCACCTCCTACACTCTCTCACTCCGTCTACTCAGCCACCCGTATTTTTCTCTCCGCAAAACCCTCGTACGCCGTTCGCGGCGGCACAAAATTCACCATCTCTTCCTTCATTTGCACATCCTTAACAAACCCCACAATGGCGGTGACCACGGCGGCATCTTCATCACCAGCGGAGTTGACAACTGAAGGACCAGTCCTCAGCCTAATCAACAAACGCCTCCGCGCCCTCCGCAAGAAACAGATTCGTATACTTCAGATGGAAGAGTCACTCTCCCAGGGAAAAACGCTAAACAAGGAGCAAGAAGAAACCCTTAAATCCAAACCCTACGTACTTGCGGGAATCGACGAGCTCGAAAAGCTCCGTCAGCCCCTCGCCGACGCTATGGCTCAGGAAATCTCTATCGCTTGCCAGAAAATGGAATCCGAAGCCCCAATCAAACAAATCCCTGATGAGGAAACCCCAAAGCCCGAGGTGGTGGAGCAATCTTCGGTGGAGGAAGAGAAGTCGAATTCAGATAGCGTTTATGTGATTTCTGATCTGATGAATCTGCTCTATTTTGGGAGTGTGTTTGATGTGAAGACCCTGATGAGGGCTCACGATAATATGCTCACGAGGACTCATGAAAGGCATTGTTGTTTGACTTATGATTATGTTACGGATGATGATGCCATGGATCCCCTGAAAGAGTGGGATTTGGACCTGATCTCGATGCTTGGGAGTATGTTGCTCTCGCGGCCTGTGGACTCAAGCTTGTCCCACAAGAATGCACTTCAGAAGTGTGTCGAGCATGCGAAGCTATGGCTTTCCAACTCGGATCAGCCCATTGAGCCCAACTCCAATGTCACTTGTAAGAAGTCATCCACAGAATTGCTAAATTGCCTCTCCATATATGTATGCCTGTAATATTTACATGAATTGATCGGTTGTTTTTGTGATGCTTGGGGGATTATTGTAGTAGTTCTTTCCTGGAGTTGTTTATCTAAATATTTTAATTATTGTTTAATTACTCATAATGAACCATTAGCTTGCATAATCGAAGCGGTTATTTGAACCGAACCCTAATGTTAATTGTTCAAATACATCCTCTCTTTACATTATATAGTCTCAAATACAATGCAGTGTATTTGTCTTTGGATGTATCTTTCTAATGTTATGTTCATATCAGTGTGGGTCTCAAATGTACGTATTTGTGTGTAGATGTATCTATCTGACTATTTATGTTCATATTAAGGTGGATATGTAGTTTTGGCCAATCTTTTGATGAGTTTCATTATCACAATAGCTTTTACTTGATATTAATTTGTTGTGGGATTATGTGTACTAAGCACTTAAATTTCGTGTTTGCTAAGTCTTTAACTTCAATGCTGTATATTTCCTTACGAGAAAGTTCCATGCTCACATGTATTTCCCTCTCTGTGTGTGAGATCTATATGAATGGGTTTATTTATTGGTAATGATTGGGTATAATATAGCAGGTTATATTGTAGGCTATTGAACCTAACTCCATTGATACTTGTACGGTTACTTTGTACCTTTCTCTGAGTTTCACGAATCTTTGTACACCTTGATGGGCACAAAGATATTTGCTATATTTTCGTGAATGTGTTGATAGTGTTGGTGATTTTATTACTTTTTTGATAGTTGTAATATACATCTATTGGAGGAATCTAAATCCTTTTTGACCAGTCTGATCTTTATTGAACTCCTATGATAGTTTTTGTTGTGGTTAGCATTTGCTTTTAGTTGGTATCACGCAATTTTATATGGCTTGTTTTTGGACCGGGAATTATAAATCGAAGTTTTATCATGATTATTTTTTTCCTTCTTTTAGTCATTTTGTATTTGACTTTATATGGGTTGATTTCTAGATGCTGGATTGAGGGAGAAGTTGAATAAAATTATGGCTTCAGACTATTTTACAACAACACCAGAGATGAAAGGTCCTATTGAAGTTGCAGCAGCTGCTGGGAACTATACATCTTTGCAGGTACCAGTGCATGGGTCTGTGGTGCCAGTTCAAGGGGAAGGTTCAACTGCAGTGTATGAACAAGAGGTAATGTTTGATGAATCTACTAGAAAGTAGGATTTGATTTGGTTATGTATGATGAATTTAGTGAACTGTCTGTCATTGCTCCTTTAAGTATTATAAACATACTTTGTTTCTACCTGCTGTTTTGGGGATAAAGACGACGTTGCTCTTGTAATGATATTTGTGAC